AGGAAGAGAGGGAGAGAGAGAGAGAGAGAGATTGTTTGTTTGTTTGTTTGACCTAGAAGTATATATATCAAGGAGCAATTTGCATAAAAGCTGGACATATGCACAGTTGTACCTTGCAGAAATAAATGTTCCTTAATTTGATGAACTTGTATGTGAGATATCCAGAATAAAAAAATATAAAAGAATTCCTTTTTTTATACGAAAAGATATTAAAATCATGAAACAGTACCGAGTGAAAACCAACATGTTAATGTGTGAGTTTTCAATAACAAGCGTGACTCCAAATAATAATGCAAAATCAAGGTGTAATAATATTCAAATTGAACAAGTTCTTAGCCTTTATCCAATTTTTCAAAATGGTAAAAAATCAGGGTTATATTGATTATCAAATAGATGTTTGATATTTTTGTTCATTTAAAGACTATGAAGATGTGAAATTGACATTATTATTCCGAAACAATGAAGATGAAAACTCTTGCCCGGGCAAAAGAGCAGCGCTAGAGGTGCTCTAATAGTATTACCTCAATATTTGTGAACCAAATCCAAATGCAAGATTTCATTCTAATACACAACCACCACAAGCCATGCAATTTACCAAGCATAGGCCGGCTCTATACAAGAAATATTTCTCCTTAATTAACGAGAGATTAGTTAATAAAAAGCTAGTGCCTAATACAACAAATATGTGCCATGGGAAATACCAACTCTTGGCCTCTAGCTCAACTGTAATGAATTAGTGCCATTACCAACTTATCAAAATAGAAGTTTTTTTTTTTGGGCCGAAGTTAGGAAGAGGGAGGGGGAAATATCACACACACGGGTGCAAACCCTTCAAACCTACCAGTGCTCAAGTCAAGTAGAAATAGGGTGAGGGTCGATCCATCAATGGATCCTACAACATATCAATCCCCAAGTAATCCACGGAGAAATAAAGTGGTATATGACTAAGATCTGTCTTTTGATGCTGGAAAATGAGGCAAAAAAGCTTTGCTACTTCTCAGTGCATGAGAAATGAAAAGTGGAAGAAGCTTATTTGTGAAAAGAAAATAATGGAGTTCTTTAGACTCTACTAAAAGAGAGCACACCAAAAGAAGAGAGCACACCAAAAGTCTGAACCAATCCAACCAACATCATATTGGTCAAAATAGAAGTATTTACCTTACCAAAATAAAGTAATAAACTTAAAGTTCTGCTAGTGCCCAAGGCACAAAAGGCTAGGCTTGCTTTCTAACTAGAAAACCTAGAAGAAAGCATAAACTAGAAATGTCTTATATGACTGGTCAATAAAATAGTTAATTAATAGCCTACAAAGCTTGGTAGCCGAAAAGAAAATTTATTTTACAAATCTTTCTGTGGAGATTTGGAGTAGAAGAATATGGACGTCGAGTATGACATGCTCCTGTAGTTGATTGATCACTCCAGCCCCTTTTTTTTTTGTGCGTAAATGAATAGTTTTTTGCATTCTAAATTATACCACTTTTCTTTTTTCTTCTCAATTGGCCTCAACTTTTCTGTCCATTAGGATCGACATGGAATAAATTAATTATGTATAAACAAAGGTTGGCATATCCATCATTATCAGCATGCCTTTACTATCCCCATTAGAAATCATAGGCTACAAATAATCCTATCTTCCCTTTACTTTAAAGCATTCGTCTTTTTTTATTAGGTTTGATTTGCTCTAATTCCATTTTTTTTCTTGTGTTTATAATTAGCGTGATTCATATGATTTAATGTATATTATTTCTAGAGAAAATGTGAGTATCAAAAAAAAATTATCATTAGATTTTAAGCTAAGAACTTTAGCTAGCCCACCCATTAAAAAATTTCTGGTTCTGCTATTGTTCATTGCTTAGAACCTAAGTCCAAAGCATAGAGATAATTAGGGACTTTAGGTCAAGTGTAAAGGCATGGACCCCAAACTATAATCACCCATGATATGTGTTTTCAGTTGACTCGTTTGACTGGGGGTCAACGTATACCTTGACCGTTTACTAAGGGGTAGGAAGTTGCTATGCCCTTCACTTTTCATCTCATGAATCTAAGAGCACCTCCACCCCAAAGGGCAAGGGTAAGGCAAAAGCAAGGCAAGGTTTGTCACTATTCACATGAATAGTGGCAGCCCTTGCTTTTTTTTGTTTCCACCCCAAAGGGCAAGTGCAAGAGCAATTACTATTCATTTTAATTTGTTTTCTATTTTTTATACTTAAACCATTAATTTTGGCGTGGAAAGTGAAAAATATGATTAGGTATTTATATATAAAACAATTCTGAAAATTTTGGTATTTTTTGTTGCTAACAGCAAACCCAGGCAAGATTTGCCTTTTGGCCTACCCAAGCGTGTGGACCCCATCAACTGCCCAGTCTTGACGTTACACACTGGAGCCAAATGCTGGCCCTAGGCCCCCTCCTGCCCGAGCAAAAGAGCAGCGCTAGAGGTGCTCTAATGGTATTACCTCAATATTTGTGAACCAAATCCAAATGCAAGATTTCATTCTAATACACAACCACCACAAGCCATGCAATTTACCAAGCATAGGCCGGCTCTATACAAGAAATATTTCTCCTTAATTAACGAGAGATTAGTTAATAAAAAGCTAGTGCCTAATACAACAAATATGTGCCATGGGAAATACCAACTCTTGGCCTCTAGCTCAACTGTAATGAATTAGTGCCATTACCAACTTATCAAAATAGAAGTTTTTTTTTTTGGGCCGAAGTTAGGAAGAGGGAGGGGGAAATATCACACACACGGGTGCAAACCCTTCAAACCTACCAGTGCTCAAGTCAAGTAGAAATAGGGTGAGGGTCGATCCATCAATGG